AGCTAGGAACAGAATCTTTGGAAAGGCTGGAGAAACAAGGCCATGGCTTAAACTGGCCTGATGAGAAAACAAAGCTGAAGCTCCTTCCATGAGCCTCACCCTCTCTGGACCCACTCATTACACGGCGGCAGGTGGTATTTTCCAAAGCTGGATACAAGAATAACTGCACCTAACATTCTTCCACAGCTGGCTGTGTCACTCCCTATCAATGGTGGCTATGCCCCCATTCCTTAACTCAAGCTGGCCTTGTCGCTTTCCTACAAAAAAACCAGTCCTGATTGCTGAGGTTGGGTCATAAATGGACTTGCAGTCTACAGCTGATTCTCTTTAGGCTCTCCTTGCAAGACCCTTTCTGGGAATCCAGCTGCCATGCTGTGAGAAATCTAGGGTTCACTAGAGGAACATATTAATATAAAATACGTATATATGATTATATGACAGATTCACTAAGTAGGTTTACAATGGCTGCCTGTAGAAATCAGGGGTGGAAGAATGTGAAATGGCCATCCATGTGCTGGAGAGCCAAAGAATCCAATCAAAAGTTGAAGGCCTGGGGGTCACTGCAGAGTCCTGTGTGAGTCTGGGTTGGAAACTCAAAGGGTCTGCATTAGAAGGCTGGAGTCTGCACTGGAAAGCCTGATGGAACTGGAGACCAAAGTCCAAAGGCAATGGCAAAGACTGGAATTCCAAGGAAGAAAAAAAGAAGACTTCCTTCTTCTTTCCCTTTTTATTCTACCCAGGCTACAAGCCAATTGGCTGGTGCCCCCAAAGGCTACAAGCCTATTGGTTGGTGTCACCACACCCTGGGTGGGTCTTCCTCCTTCAATTTGCTGGCCTGTCAGTCATTCACAGACACACCCACAGCTTTACTAATCTGCTAGGCAGTTCTTACTCAAGTTGACATCTCACAAGTGACCACCACACCAAGCCACATGGAGTATGCTCCAGTCTACAGTGCTAGCTTGGGCTCTGGACACGCAAGACAGAAGCAACCAGATGACTCCAGCCCCATTTGGTCATGTCTCCCTGATAATTCCCATCTTCCTAGGGCAAGGCCAGATTCCATGGAACAAAGAGGAACCATCCCCATGTGTCCTGTCTGAATTCATGGCCTACAGAATTTGTGAACTAATAAAGCAATTGCCCTTGTACTCCATTAAGTGTGGGCTGTATGTTATGTAACAGTAGCGCCACAAGAAATCCCCCTGCCATGAGCAACTGACAGTGTAACCATATCGTTTTCATTTGCTTAAAATTAAAAACAGATACACAATTCAGGGCCTGGACAATATTCAAGTAGGATAGGAAGACAGCGACCCATTATCCTGGTTCTCCTAGAACCAAAGCGGTTTTCAGTGACTTTCAGTTTTAAAACCAGGACAATCTCCAGTAAACCAAGCCAAGTTGGTCACACTACTTTGAAACAATTTAGGAACCAAGCCCCACAGCAGGAGGTGAAGTGAAGCTTCAACCCTGTTCCAGCTGCATCAGAGCCTGAGCTCCGCCTCCCGTCCTATCAGCAGGCTTTAGATTCCAGGAGGAGCACGCCCCCCTGCTGTGAACTGGGATCTAGGATCTAGGCTCCCTTAGGACAATTTAATGCAATAATAACACAAATAAAGTGCACAATGTAATAATAATAGAAATAAAGTACACGATAAGTGCAATGCACTTGAATAATCTCATAACAATTTCCTTCCTCAACGTCTATGGAAAAATTGTCTTCCACAAAACCGACTCCTGGTGCCGAAATGTTTGGGGACCACTGGCTTAAATCACCCACTCTGTGGTACTCGGGCCCAGCAGCCCTAGTAAACTAGTACAAAGTCCTCCAGGTGGCCTTCCCAGGTGGCCTGTTTCTTCAACATGCCCGGTGGGTTCTGAGGACAACCAAGTGGAAACAGGTTTGCCTTTTACACAATGCCATTTCCTCTGCAATGACAGCCTGGCCCAGATTCAAGGGACAGCAACGTAGATCTGCCTGTTAATGTGACGACTGTCAGGATCATCCTGTAAGAGGGATACAAACATTGGAAGATCTGTGGCCATCTTGGAAAACACAATGAGCCATCGAGGTTCATAACTTGAAGGACTAGGGAGGTACTGTCATCAAAGACAGGGATTAAAGCCAGGTATAGTGGAGCACACCTATAATTGAAGCACTCTGGGAGGCTGAGGCAGGAGAATCCAAGTTTGAGCCCAGCCTGGGCAATTCAGAGACTACCAAGTCCTTGACTCAACATAAAAAGTGCTGGGGATGTAGCTCACTGTGAAAGCCCTGGGTTTAAACCCAGTGCAAAAAGAAAAAGGACAGAGAGTACAGGAAGAAGAGGGGAAGATCCAGGTGGTTTCAACGTGGGTCAGATGCTGAAGTACAGTTTGAACACAATGGCATCACCATGCCTGTGGACATGCGGAGGACACAGCCAGCACTGGAAGTCAGCTTCGGGACTCAGGGCTGTGGGAAGACACCCTGAGCTGGGGCCATCAACATGTTAGGAGCCAGTCTGGCCATGCCGAGAGTGAGAGACAATGAGGGTTGAGGAGACACATAGCACCCCAACTCTTAGTGCCTAAGAACAATGGTCTGCCACATTTCTATAGGTCAGCTGGATCTTTTCTCTTCTGGTTTCACCTGGTGCTTGGATGTGGTTTGTCCCACAGATTCACATGCTAGAGGCCCCTCCCCAGCCCTGGCTTTTTGCCTGCATGACCTCTTCTACACCTGATCCCACCACTAGGATCCCATTCACTATGGTGCCCTCATCAGATGCCAAACCATCAAGGACACCCAATCATGGACTTTTCGGCCTCTGAAACTGTGAGCTAAGCACACCTCTTTTCTTTACACATTACCCAGTCTCAAGTATCTTGATATAGGAACAGGAAATGGACTAATATACCTTCGGCTGGACAGTCAGCTGGAAAGCCCAATATCATCTCATATGGCTGGCAGGTGCCACCTGCTGCTCCAGCTGCATCAGTCGGACCTGTCCTCGTGGTCTTTCATCCACGTTTCTTTGTAGCATGTTGCCAGGGCAGCATCCAGAGGGCACGACCAAATGCACAGGGTGTATCTGCACACATGCTTTATCTCATTGGCTGAAGCCAGAGCCAATAGGGAAGGACTTTGCAGGAAACATGATTTAGTGGCAGCTACTGCTATCATATACCACAGGAAGGAACACTAGGTGGGCCTCTATTCATCTTAGGGTTGAGCAGAGAAGAAACCAGTTAGGACCCAAAACAAAGCAGAAAGGGCTGGGGAACTAAGAGAGAAGGGAATTCTGGGATTGCGTCCACCACCAGCCCTTGCATGGCCTTGAGAGTCATTGTCACTTTAAGTGTCCAAAGGGCCTCCCTGACCTCACCTTAGTCCCAGCCTGCAACCATCCTTGGGATTTGGTAACCCAGAAGTCAGTTTCCTTAACATCTGAATATTAACTTCAGTAGTTAGTTTAATGGAAATCTTAAGCACCAAATACAACCCTGCGGAAGCAATTCTGCAAATCGAACCAATACAGTCTAAATTTGCAAACTCTTAAATGGTCCAACTTGATCAAGTAAAAAAACCCAGTGCTTTCAAACATTTTCAACCAAAACTCACCTTAAGAAACAGGTTTCTCAACTCCAGACATGCTCAGCCACCTCATCTTTGAAAAAGGAGCCAACCACAATCATTGGAGGAAAGATAGCCTATTTAATAAATGGCGTTGGAAAAACTGGATTTCAACCTGCCAAAGATTGAAACTTGACCCATACCTATCACCATGCACTAAACTAAGACTGAAGTGGATTAAAGATATAAATATTAAGACAGAAACACTAAACTTGCTGGAAGATGAGTTAGGTAGAACTCTTGAAGACATTGGCATAGGAAAAGACTTCATGAACAAAACCTCAGCAGCATAGGAACTAGCAGAAAGAATCAACAATTGGGATCTCATCTTATTAAAAAGCTTCTGCACTACAAAAGAAACCACCAACAGAGCTAACAGACAACCTACAATATGGGAAAAAAATTTTAGCAGCTGTACCTCAAAGGACTACTATCTAGAATATATAAAGAATTGAAAAAAATCAGACCCCCCAAATTCAAAGACCCAATTCAAAAATGGGCATCTGAAATGAACAGACATTTCTCAGACAAGGAAGTAAAAGCAGCAAACAAATATATGAAAAAATGTTCAACGTCACTCGTTGCAGATGAAAACAACACTGAGATTCCACCTCACCCCACAAAGAATGGCTGCTATCAAGAAATCAACAAATAACAAATGCTGGCGGGGTTATGGGGAGAAAGGAACCCTTCTCCATTGTTGGTGGGAGTGCAGACTGGTGCAACCACTGTGGAAGTCAGTGTGGAGATACCTCAAAGAACTAGGACTAGAGGTCCATTTGACCCAGCTATTCCCCTGCTGGGGATCTTCCCAAAAGAATTAAAAGAATCATACCACAGTGATATATGTGCACCCATGTTCATAGCAGCACAGTTTGTAATAGCTAAAGCTTGGAAGAAGCCCAAGTGCCCATCAACTGGAAACTGGATAAAGAAAATGTGGTTTTTTAATAAAATGGAATACTACTCAGCCATAAAGAATGAAAAACTAGAGTCATTTATAGCTAAATGGATGCATATCCAGGCCATACTCTTAAGTGAAATAAATAGGACACACGTGTAAATACCAAATAGTTTCTCTAGTGTGAGAAACTGATAGTGTAAACAAGGGTTAAAAGGATTAAAATGGATAATTGATAATTTGAAATAGGAAAAAAGGTCCAAAGATGAAGGAATGAAGGGAGGGGAGGGGAAAGGAAAAGAGGGAAAGGAAAAACTATGAGAAAAGAAAAAAATGGAAATGAAATCTATGTAAATAGGGAAGGGTGGAGGGGATGAAGAGTGCACAGGTAATGGGGGGAAAAATAAGAACCAAGATACATCATGTACAGGTACAAACCACAATGATAAATGTAAACGAATTGTGTACCTAAAATGTACCAATAAAAGAACTAAAAAAAAAAAACAGGTTTCTGTGAAGATCCTGCACACACAGGCACACAGACACATACTTGTATGACTGCATGCACACACCACGTACCCACACAGCCAAAACTGATGCTTCCCGAGACAAAAGAGATCATCATAAAATGTGCTCACTATGTGCAGTGCTGGGGACCGTTCTTCTTTCTTCTTTCTTTTAATGCTAGTTGTACCTGTACCCTGCTAGACTGATTTCACCATTCGCTCATGGTCATGGCCCGAAGATTGAAAAAGAGAGACTTGAGCCATCCAGAGCAGAAGTCAGAAAACCAGTCAAATCCTGCCTTTAGTCTTGTTTATTTTGTTTCATCACCTGTTGGTTGTTTGGGTAGAAATTAAAAGTTGTGCCTTCAGGCAGGCTGCTCTTCTCTGATGCCATTCTGGCCTGCTCGATGCATCTGTGTGCTCCCTTCTGGGCCCCAAATGTGTTCTATTTGGGACTTGTGGATCTATAGCTCTAAAAGGCATAGATGATGCATTTATGCACGCCCAAAATATTGAATGAGTGTCTCTCATGTGCCAGTTGCTACGGCCCAGACTGGAAATACAACAGAAAACAGACAAAAATTGCTGTGTTTAGTTGAGCATGACGGCACACAGCTGTAATCTCAGCACTTTGGGAGACTGAGGCAGAAATATCATAAGCCTGGGCAACTTAGCAATTTAGTGAGACCCTCTCTCAAAAAATAGAAAAGGGATGGAGGTGTAGCTCAGTGAGGAGGCCCTGGGTTCCACCCCCATTTAAATTTTTTTTTAAATCACTGCTTTTATTGAGGGGTGATTTTAGCTGGGCGTGGGTGAAGGGTTGGACAAGTAAAAAAGGTAAATCTATTCTGTATTAGAGGGTGGTAAATTCTTCAGTGAAAATAAAACAAGAGGGAAGTAGGCATCTCTGAGGTTTATCCAAGATTAAAGGTTTCATACCCATTGGTGGAAATGAGGGCGCCTATTAACATTCTTATCTAACTGATGAGGGCTGAGAATGGGGGAGACAACTGGCCAGAATCTCCCCCAAAAAGAGGGTTCCTAGCCCGTCCTAGCCGGTAGACCTGGACCATCAAGTCGCCCAATTACTCTGCCAAAGGGCAAAGCACCAGTAACTCTAACCTAGAACATTTCAAAACCGGGCTGGGGATTTACCTCAGTGGTTCCGCCGCCTGCCTCGCAACCACAAGGTCCCGAGTTCGATCCCTGACACCAAAAAAAAGGAAATTTCAAAACCACTCACCCATGAAAGGGGCAACGTCTTGGGAAAGGGTCCCAGCACCTTGGCCCTGAGGTTGGAAGCACCTCGATGTTTTCAGATACTTCCCCCGCCCCAGCCGGCCCTCGCCGTCCACGTCGCCCCCTCTCCCGAGGGATAATGCCCAGCCACCTCATTAGCTCTACACGCAGGACCCTTGCAACCTGAGTCCTGCTTACCGCGCCAGCCTTATCTCCTGTCTCTCCTCCCTCGCTTTTTTCCGCTGCAACAAAGCCAAACACAGCACCGTGGGGGCTTTCACGCTCCTGTGCCTTAGGACGCGCTGTCCCTTCTTCCTGGAAGGCCGCGGCCCTCGGTACACTCGCCCCTCCCCCTGCCCGCGAGCTCCGGTTCATCCTTCAGAACCCAGCCTGGATGCACTCTCCCTCTTGGATCCCTCCTCCTTGTCCCCAACACCCCCTTTCGGTTTCGCTTCTCTGAGCTCTACTGATTTCTCTAAACCTCTCTTCTCCCAGGTTGGGGCCTCCTCCAGCGATGGAGTTGTCTTGGAGTCCCAACCCTCTCCCGCCAAATCGCTTTGCCTGGAGCGAAAATAAATAACAAGAGCATGCACCCAGGCTCGGACTGACTCCAAATGCCTTTGGACTCCTCGACGGGCCTGCAGAGCCCCTCGCCGCAGCATTTCCACTCCTGAGCCGCAGCTACTCAGCCCCTTCCCCCTCGACTCCAGCAGCCCGCGGCGCCCCGGGCAGCGCCTGGACTACAAGTCCCAGCAGGCCTTGCGTGGAGGCGCATGCGCAGCTGCCCGGGGTTTGAGTGGCAAGTTGTTTGTTACAGCGAACACCAGCTGCTGCCTGCGCCCGGCGCTGCGCGCTGCTACTCCGCCGCTCGCCCGCTCGCCCGCTCACCCGCTCACCCGCTCGCCCCGCCGGCGCTCCTGCCTCGCCTGCCCGTCCGGGGCCCCCCCTCGCAACTTGGCGGGTCTCCCTCTGCTGCTGGGTCCGGCCCGGCCCGCGGCGGCTCGGTACCGACGGGGCGCGCGGGAGGGGCGCGGGGGGCCACGGGTCGCCCCCCGCCGATGCGCCACCGCGGAGCGCGGGCGGACGATGGAACTCCACATCCTGGAGCATCGGCTGCAAGTTGCCAGCGTCGCCAAGGAGAGTATCCCGCTCTTCACCTACGGCCTCATCAAACTTGCCTTCCTGTCCTCCAAGACCAGGTGTGCAAGCGCGCCGGGGGTTGGTGTGGGAGGGGGGGACCCGCGACGCGGCGCCCGGCCGGGGACAGACAAAGAGGCGCACCCCGGGGCGGCTGTCCTCGTCGCCGCGCCGCAGAAAACAACTTCGGCCCCAGGGAGCGCCGGCCTTCGACAGAGCCACCCCCTCTGCGCTCCCGCGGGGGTCCCTGCGCCCTGACCCCCCCCCCCCCGCCCGCCGCTGTCATCGCCCCCCCTTCACACAAACACACCCATCTCGGTCCCCTCCCCGAGATCCCCAGGCCCCGGGCGACCGCAGTGACGAATCCGTGAATGAATGAACCAATGAACGAATGAATGAATGAAAAACAGGTGTGGGGACGCTGCAATGGAAAAAACAAACTAACAACCCCCATCCTCCCATCTATCTCTTGTCCCTCCACCCCCCGACCCGGGTCGCCACAGCCAAGGGGGAGGGATTCATCCAAGCGAGCGCGGACCAAAGCAGAAAAATTATAAAATCATTAGTGGGTGTTTATCTCAAGGTGTCTGCGAGCCTTGCGGTGATGGGGGTGGAGGGGCAGGCAGGGGGCTGCGGGGCCTGGGTCCCCGGGATTCTTTCTCTTGGGGTCCAGGGAAGGGGGGGGGGCCCGAACCGTGGAAGGGGAGGAGCAGCCTTGTTTATGGATCTGACTCCTGGCTGGGTTGGGATGCAGGAGAAAAAATAGTTGAAGGCCTTGGAAGGTAAAAGGAAGATAGAAAAGAAAAAAACCAACTTGGATTTTTCCTAGTGCTAGGTAAAGGTTTGATTGACATTGTGAACCCTGGTAGGTATTTGTGTTAGGGTTTTGTCTTGGGGGGCTACTGAGTGCAGGTAGCTGCTGTAACTTAAGTCCCTTGATACCTACCATCGTCACTGTTAAAATGGGTGATGAAGTTGTTGCTTGTTGGGGTTTTTGGGGGGGAGGGTGTGAAAGTGATTCCCACTCGTTGCAAAATGAATAAATACATTATAGGTCAAGGTTAAGTGAAAATGACAGCCCCCGTCCCTGGGCTGTCCCCTTCTGTGCAGAGCTCAGGGGACTTGGGGAAATAATTCCATCCAAATCTGTTATTTGCCTGTTACAAAGTTCTTGCTTGGAAATCTCACTTTGATGTGTCTGAGCTGGGAGCTCAGTCCGGGGCCATTGTTTGCTGAGGCAGCCAGACCTTGTTTACTTTCTTCTCCGGCTAGGCTGCTCTGCTCCTCCTCAGGGTCTGGAGGTTTGGAACTCTTGCCTTCGGAAGAGCCCTTGCTCCTTTGATTGCAAAAGGTAATCATTAAACAGGTCATTTGAAAACAAAAGTAAAGCCTTGGATTCTGAGCCCCCCCTTCCCCAGCACACAAAGCCCCCTTTGGCTCTTGACACCTTGGCTTGGGTCTCGCTTCTACCTGCCCTCTGCCCACCCCACCCCCTCACCAGTCTGGAAGGGCCAGGCCTAGAGGTTAACAGAACAGCCTTGTTTTTCCAACCCCTGGTCCTTGTTCAGCCCTGACAGCTACCATTCAGATGGGCATGATGACTCAGGCTTCCACTGTGCCCCGGGCCTGGGTGCTGGGGGGGGGGGGCGTTGGGGGGCTTCTTAGAAAAGCAGCAAAAAGTGGCTCCCTCCGTCCCTTGCCCTTTGTGAAAGGACTTCCAGCAACCCCTGTGCATAACCGGGGTCCAGTTTGGAGAACCCATCAATAGACCTGGCTCTGGGGTAGGTGAGCCCCTGCTGGCCCACAGCAAAACCCACCCCTCCTTGGGTTCCCCTACTCTCTCCAGACTGGAGATGACTCAGAGGTCAAAGGTCATCTCTCTGTCTCCAGGTTCCAAGCACATTTGTCAAACGACCAAGGACCTGCTGCTGCTACAAGCACCCTGAGCCCAGGCGGGGCCCAGGCTGTGACTCAGGTTGTGACCAGCCCTCTCATGGCCTGAGTGGCTGAGGCCAGGTAGCCCTCCTGTGGCTCTCATCATGTCCGTGTGCCCGCCATGCTGAGGTGGGCAGTGGCTTTTAGGAGGTGTGAAAGCGACACAGAGGTGCCCATCTATTACTTAAGCTGTTTGCAGAAATCACCTGCCCCCGGGGAGTGCTTTGGGTTCTCCTGGACTCTTCCTGCAGTACCTGTCTCCCAGATGTGACCCCACCCTCCTCCCACGAACCTATTTACCCCAAAGTGGTGCAGCATCCCTGGAGTGTCTCAGTGCTTGCCTGTTCTCAACTCTATAAGGTCGAGACCTTGACATGACATTCAAGGCCTTTTCGAATCTAGATCTGAAATCCCTGTCCCAGGAAAGATTCCAGTGACCCCCAGTTTACCTTCTTTCCCTTCACACTTCAGCACCTCTGACCTGTCCATCTTTCTTCTGGAACCCTGGCCCCCATTCCAGTAAATTCCACTTCAGCCCCCAGGTCTAGTGGTATCACCCCAATACTGCGGGACACCCCCCCCCCCGCCGCTGCAGACTGAGTAGCTTGCCCCTGCCATGTCTGTCAGGCATTTTACCAGCTCTGCAAAGAAGGAGCCTGGATCACCACTCGACCTTTTGACTGAGATCCAGTGAAGAAAAAGAAGCCTGGAGCTCAAAGGTTAAATAGCCGCTTTAGGGTCACAAAAGTAGTGCAGAGTCCAGAGTTTCTGCTGGTGCCTTTTGCAGAGGATGCTTGCTCTTTGGGAAAATGTAGGAGCCCAGATTGAAACGCCTGGACTTTCTCACGGCCAGCCCTTATGGACCTTTGCTCTGGCAGAAATGCATGTCCCTTATCTCATCCCAAGGAGATCTCCTGCCTCCTTCAGATGCTCCCTCACAACTCTGTCCCCAACAGCACATCATGGGCTTGCCTTCTTGTCCCTCCTGGGTTATAATCTTTTGTCCCTGGAAGTTCACAGGCATCACGTTATGTGGAGCTGCCCGACCCCACTGTGTATTACACATGGGGAAATGCCAGGCTTGCAGGAATACGGTGGCCTGTCAGGGTCACACGGGGAGGTGGGGGCACAGGCTGGGGATTTGAACCAGGCCCGTCTCTGCTGCCCTGAGCACACCGCTTTGTAGGCACTTAGTGACTGTCTAAGTGATGGATTTCCGACCTGTGCACACAGTGACCTAGATTTCAGTCGAGTATTTACCAGAGTCTCTGATGAGCGCCCCAGGGGCTGGAAGAAACCTGGCAGGCAGAGCACACCTGGCAGAAGGGGAATGTGGTGACCCTGCCGGGCTCCACTGCCGGTACTTGGGCAGCTTCTGGGTGTGGCTAGAGCAGGTCAGAAGGACAGAGCTCAGCACACCTATTGTCGGCCTGGAGCTCTGCTCTGCCCTTGTGGGCACCTGACTGTGCCTGACCTTGCACTCTCGTCTCTCAGGATCCCCAGCACACAGATGATTTCTGGTGTCCTCCTGGCATCTCCAGCCTTTCAGCCCTTGGTCCAGCCTCTTCCTTTTATCCAGGATGTTGCTCCCTCTGTCTGCATGCTCATTCTTTTAGATTCTACCAGGAAGCCTTCCCTGAGTGCTGCGATGGGCTTAATCTCTGGAAGATGAAAGGTGATCAGGGACTATTAGTAAGGATGCTTTGGACTGCAAATAACAAAACGCCATGGTCTAACTTCTTAAACCAGAAGAAGGCTGAACCTCGTGTGATAAGATTTGGGCTGTTTCAAGGTTGGTTAACTTAAAGGCTTGATATCATCAGCGCCTGGATCTTTCTACCTTTCTGTTTGGCCACCACTCTGGCAATGTCGCTCCCTGTGTATTGGGCCGGTCAGTTCCAGGAGTCTTCAGCAGTCAGAAGGAAACCCAACCTGGAGAAGGAGCATCCCCAGCCCTGCACAGACTTCTAAGCTCATTGGTCAGAACTGGGTCACCTGAACACATCTCAGCCTATCACTGGCACAGGGAATGAGACCATCATGGACCAATCAGGATTCACCACTGAAGGTGGGGCCTGCTGCCTGGAGGCTTCTGACCACAGGGTGGTGGAAGACCCACCCAGGGGCTGTAGAAGAGTGGCCAGCTGTGTGCACCTGGGGTGACTGACATTCCCCAGCCTCACAGAGGCCTGAAGGCAGACTCCAGTTTGTGGGGCATAAAGATATTTCCATGCATCCTCAATTGAGGTGGGAACACCCAAGCCTGGGAGTCCAGGGAGGGCCAGGAGGGCTCAGAACCCGAGGGATGGAAGATGATCATCCTGGGCCAGAGGCTGCTCACTGTTGCTCGAACCCTAAGGCTTGTGGGGATATGGAGTTGTTCTCTGTACGCAGGAAGGCAAAGTGGAGCCAGTTAGGAACACAGCAACACCAGCAATGGCAGCAGTAGTCATCGGTCACACTGATAAAGCACCACACATGTGTTAGCTCATTCAACCTTGCAGCACCCCGATGGAGTGGAAGCTGTAGTGTCCCCATTATACAGATGAAGAAATTGAGGTTGGAGGACACACAGAAATGACAGGGCTGGGATTTGAACCCAGCGAGTCTGGCCCTAGGCTCCACCTTCACCGCTTGCCAGACGTCCAAGCAGACTGATATGCACTCCCTGTGCCAAGGCCCAGCAACACCTGCTGCGATCTTTCAGCTCCGCCCTGGATGCAATCTCGTTGGGGCAGCAGGAAGAGCGTGCAGGCGGCATGTGCCCCCGGAGGCCTCGGGTTCAACCTGGGTGTTCTAGTCAGTTCAGCCCATCTTGCCGATGAGCCACCATGAACTCTGGTGACGAAAGAGGCATTTGTGGGAGAAAAACATAGAATTGTTAAATAATTTTCTGCACCTCCATCATTTTCCTGCGTGTGCAGGGCTGAGGCCCGCACTGGGTTGCAGTTCTGGGGAAAGATAGGCTGGCAGAGGGGCTGGGACCCCAGGGGGCCTCAGGGGGATCCCAGCGCTGCCACACGCTGGCTGTGCAACCTTGGGCAGATTGCTTGCCCTCGCTGCGCTCAGCGTCTCACCTGTAACAGAGAGATGACTGATGTCCGTGCCTGCTGTGCGGCTCGTTTTG